GTTTTGTGATATTAATAATGCTAATGTATTGATTTTTTTCTAGTTTTGATTTAAGTTTGCTTGTTTAGCGTCGTCACAGTTGCTAGGTGACAAGACGTACGCCGGGGTAAGGAGGGGAGGCTAGACCGTCCAAATTCACAGCCTCTTTTTTTCCTGGTCTTCCCGGTCTACCAAGGACCCGGCCCAGCTCGACCGGGGAGTCTGGGTCCTCCGGCGGACCCGGCCTGTCGTTTCGGACACAGCCTTTATATTCTGTCTGGGTCACATTTTTCAACACGATCAGTTTTCTTTATTTTCCATGACGTTTTCTTAATTATTACATCACAGTATTTGCAACAAAATTTCTAAATAAGGTCTGGACGTACCAACTACAGATTGGTGGTCTTCATTCTCCTCTGGTTCTGGGTCAGACTCTGGCTCCGACATATAAGACTGGATCGACAAGTCTTCCCTTGCTGACGTCTTTTAATTCATTTGTAAATAAAAGGTTTCTACACGGCTATAGAGTCATAAACCCTTTTTTTCAAACTAGAATGAACCAATCTAAAAGCTTGAGGGGTTGGGGTGCCAGAAAACTCATTTGTATTTAAAGAGACAGCCTCAAAATAAGTTGATCTGAAACACACCCCAGAAAAGGGGCGGGGCTAGTGGAGCTGCAATAAGGAGGAATTCAGACCAAAGCATTGCAGTTCCACTTTATATAGACTCAAACTGAAGGATTTAAATGTAAAAAAGAAGGATTTAAAAGCAGGATGCCTCCTTTAACCCAAAAACAGCAAATTTAATTTGAACACAACTCCTCTGTCAATTTAGCTGTAAGTGAAAGGCATTTCCTTCTCTGCAGCTTTAAGTCTATTTTAATTTTTAAAATCACTTCAGTGCACACAGGCCTGCAAATTACTGGGTTGACAAAGAGATACGAGGAGACTTTTTATAGCCTTCAGTAGCTTCTGAAAAATGTTCGGCTCAGCCAGGACAGACAGGGTGGTTCTTGAGGTGTTGGAGAGAATGCACTGCATTGTTTTGGTTGCAAACTGCCCATTTTAACTCCCCCCCCCAACTCTTAAACACGTCAAGCCTTTAATCCTGTGTGCCAACTGCTGTGTCGGCGSAAAAGATTTACTAAATAATTTAGTTAAAAAAAAAGCTGCGTCACATGACTGAGTCACCGAGACGACACCAGGAGGAGAGCTAGAGCCTGCGGTCCTGCTGGGCTTATTATAGGTGTGTGTGTGTCTGTGTGTGTGTACATGTGTGACACAGTGTATAACCCTAACACCCTCATCAACAAACCAAGGCTGTCTCCTCTTTGAGCGGACATGGGCTCTAAATCAGATGCAGCTAACCCCCAGCAGAACAGGTGATCTTAAAGACGAGTGCAGAAGCAGGCGAGTACCTCTCCTCTTCTCTCGCTCCTGCAGGAGGTGCAGCGAYGTAAGAAGGTGCAGGCGGTGAAGGTGGTTGTGGACCCCGAGCTCCAAGAGGTCATATTCTGAGAGGTGGAGAAGATCCTGCAAAACATCAGAAAAAAAAAACACTTCAAAGAAAATAAACAGAAGTGGGCAGCGTTAATCCAAAAATTAGCTCCGCAAATTCTAAAGCGCTTATGAAAATATTTAGGTCCGCAATTAGCGGATTTGCGCTTTAGCGGACTGGTGCCCACCACTGAAAACAAACTTCATTTTCAACAGTGTAGGGGTCACCAAAAATACCAAAATTGCCAGAATTTTTAAAGAACTTACAGTCAAAAGAGTCAGAAGTAGAAGCAAGTTTCTGCTCAGTGTTTTACTTTGGTGGTCCTGAAACCGAGCCCCCCAGGTTTATCTCTAAATATAAAACTGTCACCAGCTACACCAAACACACACAGACCCACAGAGGCTGTATTTAACCACAGCCTCTGTGACATACCGGAACAATTAGTGACGTACAGGAATAATTAGGACATATGTGAGTGTTTTTCCCCACAGGAGTCTGTTCTATTGAGGGGGCGAGGGTAAAATCCATACACTGTAAGCTCTTTAAAAGTTAAATCAGATAATAAATGCCACGGAATAAAATGTCTTTGCAACAGTCTTCCTTTTAAAAATAATGAAATAAAAGCTTTGAAGTTTGTTTTTCTTCCTATCTTCCAGATGCATTATGTCTTGATTAAAAACATACTTTATTAAGATGAACTTTCTCAAGTCACGCCTTTAAAAAGAGAGATAAAGAGTTTTGACCCGAGCTGCAGTGAACTTTTATATCATTTCCTGACTTTGACRAACATTAGGTGGTTAAAATAACGAGGCTGACGAATGGAGACAAAAATGTTTCTGTAGTTTGTGAGCCGTATATGATGGGGTTTTAGGGCCACGCAACAAGATTTTTTTTTTAATTGCAAAATTAAAGTCATAATTTTCTAAAATTAAAGTCGTAATATTAAACCCTTTACACAAAAAAGCATGCAGTTATCACAGCATTAAAATGGGGAATGTTGAGCAACTTGTCAAGTTATTCTTTAGTGTTGCTTAAAATAAATAGTCTTTTAGCACATTAGCATCAAATTATCAGTAGCAGGACTTGGAAATTGTGCAAATGACTATATGATAAACTGAAGCTGTATTGTAATTAATGGATGCACTGACAGATTTAGTCGTCACATAGCTAATTTGGATGAAAGCATATTAATCTAACAGTGGCTCAAGTCATCGCGGACTACGTACTTTAAACACAGAGACATGGCTGTACACAGCAGGTGTGAGGAAAATGAGGACATGAGGAACGGAAAATGGACACGTCATGTAAGTTTATGGCATTTTCTCGTATTATTATGACTTTATTCTCATAAAATTGCGACTTTAATCTCATAATATCATGTCTTTATTCTCGTAACAACAACAAAAAAAATACCTCATTGTGTGGCCCTAATGCTCTGTCGTGGTATACTACTAAAGCAGCAGCTAAAATACTAAAATATTTTTTCTTTATCAAATTCTTTTGCACCTGTTTGTTCATTTTTCCATTATTCTTAAARGGAGGTATGGTGTATTTTCCATATATTTCAATCCTATATCACAATCAGGTRAATATAGCTGTGTCAKCGAYGWTTTTT